CAGTGAAAATGTGATGTGTTTAAGTACACTTTAGCATTCATGACTCTTCACTGGCTTTGGCTGAGTCATACCAAACAGGTTTATGATTTGGCATCCTTTCAGACCAATCATCTTTTCAATTTTTTTTGCTATATTAATTTGGGGAAACTGAACACTGTGTTAGAAGAGCAGAACAAGAGGACTCCTTTTGTATTAATATAGGTCTGGAAAGAAAACTCAGAGCATACTCAGGGGAGTTAACAGAAAAGTGTTTAATGAAGGGACGATTTATAGAGATGGAGGCAGGGTTAAGGGAACCAACAACTACTTACACTAAGCCTTCAGAATGCTCCAGACTGCAATTATATCTTTCATCTCTATAGTTAACATAGGAAGGATATGCTGATAGAGTATGATTAAGCATTGAAGGGGTTCAGAATATGCCACCCCAAAGTATGCTACTTTGGCCTAAGTATTATTTTGAGCTGAAGCCAATTGACAACCAGTAGATGCAGTTATGTCAGTCACTGGAGAGCCTTAGCAAATGTATTCCAAAAAAAAAAAAAATTGCTTAAGATAATAACCATAATCAGCTCCGCATTGAGGTGGGCAATATTGGATGGTTATGACAAGGTGAGGAAAGAATTGTCTAGTTTGAAGATTCTTGGTACTATATTTAGTTTCTGGGTTAAGAAATAAAAAGGAAGGCTGGGCATGGTGGCTCACGCCTGTAATCCCAGCACTTTGGGAGGCCGAGGCAGGTGGATCACCTGAGATCAGGAGTTCGAGATCAGCCTGGCCAATGTGTTATAACCCCATCTCTACTAATCATACAAAAATTAGCCGGGCGTGGTGGTGCATGCCTGTAATCCCAGATGCTCCAGAGGCTGAGGCAGGAGAATCGCTTGAACCCGGCAGGCAGAGGTTGCAGTGAGCCGAGATTGTGCCATTGCACTAAGCCTGGGTGACAAGAGCAAAACTCCGTCTCAAAAAAAAAAAAAAAATAAATAAAAATAAATAAATAAATAAAAAGAAATAAAAAGGAAAAGACAAAATATAGTTTTAAATTGGGGCAATTTGTCTGTAATTTGATCAGGCTAATGTACACTGTAAGCTTGAAATGTAAACTTCTAATTGCAGAATCTAAATTTTTGTTTATTCAATTTCATTTTAATCATGGAATACAGACTAGATGCAGAGTTTGCATCAATTTTTGTAACATATTCATTTATTTGCTTAACTAATTTTAATTTGCCATAAAGCAGGAGCTTTTTTTTATGTTTATTGTTGTGTCCCCAGTGCCTAGAATTGTGCTTAGAACATAGTAGCCCAGAGAAACTTTTGTTGAATGAATGAATGAATGAATTATAGAATAATGGATGAAACATGGAATATGAATTCTAGTGGAGGTGACAGATAATATGTATAAAAATCAATATATAATGTAATTTCAGATAGCTTTAAAGACAGCAAACCAGATTTAGGTGATAGAGAATAACTGGAGAGAATGTTGGGATGGTTTTTAAAATCTTCATAATAACCCTATGAAGTAGTTGTTTTTATCTCCCTTTAGAGAAGAGGAATTTCAGACTTACCTAGGGTCGCAAAGTAGCTGAACCACACAAATCCAGTTTCATTAATTGATTCCTTCATTAAACATTCCTTGAGTGCCTGCTCAACACTGAGCCTGAGTCTGTAAAATCAGAGTAAAACAGTCTTTGCCTTCAGGGAGCTTATAATCTAACTCTGTGCTGTCTAAAATAGCAGTCACTCGTTTCTCATCAGAATTGAAATATGCTGTAATTGAGATATGCTGGAATTTGGAGACTTACTATAAAAAAGTAAAATTTCTGAATAATTTAAAATATTATATTTAAAATGATATTTTGGTATATTAGATAAAATATTAAATTCAACATTTCTTTTTACTGTTTTGAAAGTGGCTTCTAGAAAATTTAAAATGACATGTTTGACTTGCATTGTAGATTCTGATCCAGTAGGTCTGAGCACAAGATAATATATTTCTAAAAACTTTCAAGTGATGCTGATGCTGCTGTTCTGAGGACCACACTTTGAGTAGCAAAATTTAGACTAGACAGAAAACACAAGTAATTAGAGGACTGATGTGATGCTTTGTATGACTGGGCAAGCAGAAGGTGCTTAGAGGCTTCATTTTGTTTTGCCTTGTTTTTCACTCTGCAAAACAATCTATGTTCAGTTAAAGCATTTTTGCACAATGTTTATTTCCTCCATAACTACATAAATACAGATTTATCTGATTCATGAGTTTATTTTTTGCCATTTAATGATTATATACACTAGAGAGCAGTATCTATTCTATATACAGAAGAATAAGGGGCCAGGTGCGGTAGCTCACGCCTGTAATCCCAGCACGTTGGGAGGCCAAGGCGGGTGGATGGCCTCAGGTCAGGAGTTTGGGACCAGCCTGGTCAACATGGTGAAACCCCATCTCCACTAAAAATACAAAAATTAGCTGGGTGTGGTGGCAGGCGCCTGTAATCCCAGCTACTCGGGAGGCTGAGGCAGGAGAATCACTTGAACCCCGAAGGTGGAGTTTGCAGTGAGCGAGATCGCTCCATTGCACTCTGGCCTGGGCGACAAGAGCAAGACTTCGTCTCAAAAAAAAAAAAAAAAAAAAAGAAGAAGAAGGAATGGAATGTAACATCATTATAAAGAAAACATGAAGTATTACATATTATTTACTATAATGAGAAAATATCCAAAATAGGTCACTGAAGTAGAGTCTCCCAATTGCGAACAATAGTTTTTATTATAAGTCAAAATAGGAAATATTTTCCAGGGATTGCACAAACAGATTAAACCACAGAAATGACATTATTCCAGATAAATGGTCAATCCCTCTATGGTCTTAGACACTTAGTTTTGGGTAGAGATAGGCCCAGGGAACATAGAAAACTCCCTGAAGGAAGTGATTTCTAAGCTGAGAAACATCAGTAGGCATTAGCCAGGTCTGTAAGACCCTTAACACCCATGCTTTAACTCATATTTTGGATCAAGTTTTTGTTTTATGTCATTTTAGTGTTTGTTTTGTTTTTGTTTAGTTTGCTATAATATTTTATCTGAATGGAGACTAATATCCTTTGAGGATAAACAATTTGAAGTTTATTAATTAGGTATCTGTTTAAGACTCCATCATAATATACCATTTATTAGTTTATAATTCAGATTCTAAACCTATTGTAACTGTGCCTACTAAAAGCAAAGAACCAAGAGGTTCAGGATTTGTGAAAATAAAAGTACTGTAAAATATAAATGTTTAAATATTTTCTTTTTTTTTTTCTTTTTTTTTGAGACGGAGTTTCACTCTTAGTTGCCCAGGCTGGAGTGCAATGGCGTGATCTCGGCTTACTCAACCTCCATCTCCCAGGTTCAAGCGATTCTCCAGCCTCAGCCTCCCGAATTGCTGGGATTACAGGTGCCCGCCACCATACCTGGCTATATTTTTGTGTTCTTAGTAGAGATGGGTTTTCACCATGTTGACCAGGCTGGTCTCAAACTCCTGACCTCAGGTGATCTGCCCGCCTCGGCCTCCCAAAGTGCTGGGATTACAGGCATGAGCCCTGCGCCCAGCCAAATGTTTAAATATTTTCACTATTAGATATGTCTAATAAGAACTAAAGGAATATCTTCTTGAAATTGAAAAGGAAATAATATTTTTCTATCCCATAAGGATTGTCGGAAAGGTTTAAAGAGAAAATAATATATGCAAAGTGCTTACTTAGCAAGATGCCCAGCGTTAGGAAGGTAGTATAAGAAAGTAATGTTGGTTTTGTTTTTGGTGTCTATTTGGGGTTATCTAGTAGTTTGGACAGGTTATTTTAATAGCAATACTTTATGAAAATTATAAGGTACACATTTTAATTTTTGACAAGGATTCTAATACTTTCAGTAATTTAAGCACAGTTTACTGGGGTCTCAACAAAGGTCACACATTCAGAAGTGGTATGGCCTTTAGGCTAGGAGTCTAGAGACCTAAGTTTTAATTCCAGCTCTGTTATCCTGTTGTACTTTGGACCAATCATTTCAAAAAAGGATGTTTTACTAGTTGCTCTGTAAGGTGCTTTCTAGTCTGCATCAGTTTTGTTGAGACTGCATTAGCAATGTATCCAAGATCCAAACTAATGATTTGCCATCTGGTTTCATTTAGCAAAGTTAATGTTCGGTCATCAAATACACATTCAACAGGAAGTATTCTTTTATGAAACAGTTCCTACAGTCATTTTTTTTTAACCCTATATAAAATGAGTTTATTTTGGACTATTAAAAAATTTCAAAACTTTAAAATTTATTATTTTTCAACTAATGCAAAATATTACATTAGAAACATCTGAATAAAAAATGATTCTGGGCCGGGTGCGGTGGCTCACGCCTTTGATCCCAGAATTTTGGAAGGCTGAGGTGGGCAGATCACCTGAGGTCAGGAGTTTGAGACCAGCCTGGCCAACATGGTGAAACCCCATCTTTACTAAAAATACAAAAATCAGCCGGGTGTGGTGGTGGGTGTCTGTAATCCCAGCTACTCAGGAGGCTGAGACGGGAGAATCGTTTGAACCTGGGAGGTGGAGGTTGCAGTGAGCACAGATCGTGCCACTGCAGTCCAGCCTGGGCAACAAAGAGTGAAACTCCATCTCAAAAAAAAAAAAAAAAAAAAAAAAAAGATTCTGTTCTTTTCTGTATTTACTGATGTTCTTAAACATCTTACATTTTTAAAAATTTAGGTTACCTCCCTATTGAAACTATTTACAAGTGACAGTGATGACTCCTGTTACTCAAAATTAAACCAAAATGAACATCAAACTGGGATTTATTGGGGCTCAGAAACAAGAAGATATAATTTATTCATTTGAAAATGATAAAGAGGGACTGAAATAGTAGTGAGAAAGCTGCCCTGAGACCAGAGTAACTTTGTTTCTTTGAAGTACCATTTACAGTAATAACCCAAAGGGGTGCCAAGGGGCTGCCACTCTTTGGCTATGCTTTATTGTACCTTCACACTTTGTCTCCATGTGTCCTTCCCCCTTCCTCCTGTATACATGTATACAGAAGAGGGAAGGACACATGGAGACAAAGTATGCATATACATACAGAAATTCTGGAGCAGCAGCTTACTGATGTATACAACTTACAGAATCTCTCTGAGTTATGCTACTACCACTAGTATGTTGGGCATGTTGGCCCAAACTTTCTTAATCAGGAAACTTTGGATAGGTGTATTGCTAGCGGCCTTCACTTGGGTTTAATCTCAACATTTCTGAGGTGCAAAGTGCACTTGATTGAGAGTTAATAGATCTGAATTTTAATTCCAATTTTGCTCCCAATGATCACTGTGACCTCAGGGACATCACTTCATCCTTCATCATTCATTCAGTTTATCTTACCTATTCATTAAAAACTAATCTGCCTGCCTGTCTCCAGTTGCTTTCTAGTGGTAGTGATGATGGAGGTGGTGAGACACACAATAAATACGTAAGCAAATAGGAGAACTATGAAGGAAGGAAAAGTAAATGATATACTGGGAATAGTGTACTTTTTAAAATAGGGCATCTAGGATTTCTCTAGGTAAGTTAAAAATGAAGAAGTTTGGATGCTAAGGGGTCTTGCACATTAAAAGGCATGTGTTTCCGTCTTTTCAGAACTGTGTTCTAGGAAAGCCTACGAATGCCTCTAACTATAAATGCAAATCTATTTAAATCAAGTGATACATCAATTTTACGTTGCTTGATTTGGAAATAATCTGCAAAAGAAGCAATAGCTAAACATTTTAGTGTTGTTTGGGGAATAGCTGCTGACAATAAAGACCAAAATAAAGACCAAAACATAACTTCAAAACAAAACAAAACAAAAAAACACACAGCCCAAGACAGATCAGAAACTAGGTGTATGCAAGGCGCCAGGTTATGACACTGTTCTCAGACATCCACATGGCGCAAAAAGAAAACCTCACTAGGCAGCTTCGCACGTCCTCGGCGTAGGGGCTCCTGCGAGGTCCTAGTCCTTCCCTGGGAGCTAAGAGCGTAACAGAGGCTGTACCCGACTGCTGCTTGGAGGGAACCCTGGCTGAGTCCAGGGAGGAGGAGCCAGAGGCGGGGCGATTGGAAGCAGCCACCTCAGCGAAGCTGCAGGATTTCCGCAGGGCGGGAGCTGGTTATCTCCCGGAAGAAAACGGCTCCTGTCACAGAAGTCTCGTGATTGCTCTGGGAGCTTTGCTTAACCATTTGGAACTACAGAAGAAAGAAGGATCTAGCGAAGTATGGCTGCAGAGAGCCCTGCTATGCGTCGGGTCCAGGTGGCAGAACATCCCAGGTTGGGGAGAGGAGACGCCGGGCTTTGGGATCTTGTGGGTTGGTTCGGGTCCACAGCATTTGGCTGCTCCCTTGGGGCGCTGCTTTTGGTCCCGGGGAGCAGGTAGAACCCTTGGGATTCTATAAGGACACGTGGCTGGGCTTGCAAAAAAGATCACATCGCACATGCTACCATGGGTTGTATGTTTTTTGCTTCATCCATGCTGATTCTTGTTTTCCTTTTCTTGCAGTAATTAGTGCGCCCTTTCTACTGGGCTTCAGCAGAAATGCCCAAATCCACACTGAACTCTCTTTGTCTTACATGCCAGTTGATACTGCTTTTTTAAAAGCCTTCTTTCTAAATATTCATTGAAAACAAACACAAAAACCCTCTTGGTCTCTGCATCCTCTTTAAAAAACAAAAAACAAACAAACAAAAAAACCACGAGAATCTCTGAACTGTCACTTAGGGAATTAATTTGATGGCAGTCCCTAGCTACAGAGTAATCGTTTAGTGATGTCTCGGGGAGGATCTTTTCAGTTACAGGTACTTTGTAGAAATACTTTGTTCTGACTAACGGGGCTGAAGTCTCATAAAATGAAGTTTCTCACCTGCTACTTTAGCCAAGAACTTTTCTGACTCTGCCTTTGCTGTTTTTTTTTTTTTTTTTTTTTTTTTGAGACGGAGTTTCGCTCTTGTTGCACAGGCTGGAGTGCAATGGCGCTATCTTGGCTCACCGCAACCTCCGCCTCCCGGATTCGAGTGATTCAACTGCCTCAGCCTCCCGAGTAGCTGGGATTACAGGCATGCACCAGCACACCGGCTACTTTTGTATTTTTAGTAGAGACAGGGTTTCTCTATGTTGGTCAGGCTGGTCTCGAGCTCCCGACCTCAGGTGATCCGCCCGCCCCGGTCTCTCAAAGTTTTGGGATTACAGGCATGAGCCATCGCGCCCGGCCTCTACTTTTGCTGTTTTTAGCCTTTTTTATGTTAACTTTTTTCTTTCACATCAAGTCCTTAAGCTCTTCCTACTTGGTTTGTTACCACCATGTGTCAATTGATGATAATATATTTTACTACAACTTGAAAATGTTCTTTCATCCTTAAACCAGCAAACAGGGTGTCTTTAGTTATCAGAAAGAAACATAATTTCTTATAGAGTCCAGCACAGCTTTGGTCTACTTCCCAATGTCTTTGAATGTTTTAATATACTCTAGAGGTTCTTGTGTAGCACTGTTGCCCTTGTATATTTGAATGAATTAAAACACAGTGTTAAAGGCATGCTTCCAATAAGATTAATGAGAAATTTGCTACATGAAAATAACCTGATCCCTTTTGGTTTTTTTTTGTTGTTCCTTTTTTTTTTTTTGAGACAGAGTCTTGCTCTGTTGCTCAGGCTGGAGTACAGTGGCGCGATCTCTGCTCACTGCAACCTCTGCCTCCCAGGTTCAAGCCATTCTCCTGCCTCTCCAGTCTCTAGCTGGGATTACGGGTGCCGCTACCACGCCTGGCTATTTTTTCTGTTTTTGGTAGAGACGGGGTTTCGCCATGTTGGCCAGGCTGGTCTTGAACTCCTGACCTCAGGTGATCCACCCGTCTTGGCCTCCCAAAGTGATGGGATTACAGGCATGAGCCACCATGCCCAGCCTGTAGTTTAGTCTTTTACATAAAACATATCCATGTGTAAATTCCTAATGTGTTTACATTTTATGTGATTTTAATAATAAAGATCAACATTTCTATCTATACTCACTCTGTTTGGGGGAGGATGGTGTAACAATATAGGTACATGTACTCAAAGTGAAGAATTGCTTACTGAATTTCCTTAGTGTTCCTTCTTGTTTTTCATAATTTTCATATTATTCATTCATGCAACAAATATAAATATAAATATTGTTAATATTTATCTGTATTATCCACAGAAGAGATCATAATAGGTAAGCTCTGCCATTTTCCTGTTGTTCATTTGTGCACAAAATGCTATTATTAGCTTCATGCAATGTTTTATTTGCAGGATTCTTTTGCAGCCACTTACTCATTTTAGGAGGGATGTATTTTGTTAAATCTAAATAGTATAATCTATAAATTCACCTAACCGGTCAAATATTGCAATATGCTGAGAAGGAAAAAAAAATGAATAAATGGTCAGCCTGCCTCCTTGTGGAACTCTCGTTCTTTTTCAGGATGCCTCTTCAACCTCACAAGCCATGTGATCCTTTGAGTAAAGGCACTGGTCGACCATATTATACATTTTAGTAAAACTTAATTTCCTTTTTATTATTTTTATGTAAAAATCAAATAGAAATTGAAGTTCTAATATTTTCTTTCTGTGTCCCACTCTTATGTGGTACCTGTACTGTAAGACTCTAAATTTCTCTATTCTGGCTTTCTTTGCATTCTTAGCAAGCTGTATCTCTTTACTTTCTCTTTTGGATTAAGTTTCTAAACTTGTTGGATTATTGTTATTTTTGTAGCAGTTTTATTGACATTCACGTATCACATAACTAATTCATTTAAAGTTTGCAATTAAATGAGTTTAGTATATTCATAGAGCTGTGCAACCAACACCGTAATCAAATTTTGAACGTTTTCTTCTCAGAAAGAACCCCACCATCCCTTGTATTATCACAACCCAGAACTCCATTCCCTTTCCCCTCACCTGGCCTTAAACAACTACTAATCTATTTTCTGTATTTATAGATTTAGTCACTTTGGACATTTCAAATGAATGGAATCATAGAAAATGTTTGTTTTTTTGGTGACTGGCTTCTTCCATGTGGCATAATGTTCTGAAGATTCATGTATCAGTATGTCATTTAACATGTATCAGTACATCATTCCTTTTATCGTCAAATAATATTCCAGTTTATGGATACTCATTTTGTTTTTTTTGTTTTCTTTTTTTTTAAATTTATTTATTATTATTATACTTTAAGTTGTAGGGTACATGTGCATAACGTGCAGGTTTGTTACATATGTATACTTGTGCCATGTTGGTGTGCTGCACCCATCAACTCATCATTTACATCAGGTATAACTCCCAATGCAATCCCTCCCCCCTCCCCCCTCCCCATGATAGGCCCCTGTGTGTGATGTTCCCCTTCCTGAGTCCAAGTGATCTTATTGTTCAGTTCCCACCTATGAGTGAGAGCATGCGGTGTTTGGTTTTCTGTTCTTGTGATAGTTTGCTAAGAATGATGGTTTCCAGCTGCATCCATGTCCCTACAAAGGACGCAAACTCATCCTTTTTGATGGCTGCATAGTATTCCATGGTGTATATGTGCCACATTTTCTTAATCCAATCTGTCACTGATGGACATTTGGGTTGATTCCAAGTCTTTGCTATTGTGAATAGTGCTGCAATAAAGATACGTGTGCATGTGTCTTTATAGCAGCATAATTTATAATCCTTTGGGTATATACCCAGTAATGGGATGGCTGGGTCATATGGTACATCTAGTTCTAGATCCTTGAGGAATCGCCATACTGTTTTCCATAATGGTTGAACTAGTTTACAATCCCACCAACAGTGTAAAAGTGTTCCTATTTCTCCACATCCTCTCCAGCACCTGTTGTTTCCTGACTTTTTAATGATCGCCATTCTAACTGGTGTGAGATGGTATCTCATTGTGGTTTTGATTTGCATTTGTCTGATGGACAGTGATGATGAGCATTTTTTCATGTGTCTGTTGGCTGTATGAATGTCTTCTTTTGAGAAATGTCTGTTCATATCTTTTGCCCACTTTTTGATGGGGTTGTTTGTTTTTTTCTTGTAAATTTGTTTGAGTTCTTTGTAGGCTCTGGATATTAGCCCTTTGTCAGATGAGTAGATTGCAAAAATTTTCTCCCATTCTGTAGGTTGCCTGTTCACTCTGATGGTAGTTTCTTTTGCTGTGCAGAAGCTCTTTAATTTAATGAGATCCCATTTGTCAATTTTGGCTTTTGCTGCCGTTGCTTTTGGTGTTTTAGACATGAAGTCTTTGCCCATGCCTATGTCCTGAATGATACTACCTAGGTTTTCCTCTAGGATTTTTATGGTATTAGGTCTAACATTTAAGTCTCTAATCCATCTTGAATTAATTTTCGTATAAGGAGTAAGGAAAGGATCCAGTTTCAGCTTTCTACTTATGGCTAGCCAATTTTCCCAGCACCATTTATTAAATAGGGAATCCTTTCCCCATTTCTTGTTTCTCTCAGGTTTGTCAAAGATCAGATGGCTGTAGATGTGTGGTATTATTTCTGAGGACTCTGTTCTGTTCCATTGGTCTATATCTCTGTTTTGGTACCAGTACCATGCTGTTTTGGTTACTGTAGCCTTGTAGTATAGTTTGAAGTCAGGTAGCGTGATGCCTCCAGCTTTGTTCTTTTGACTTAGGATTGTCTTGGAGATGCGGGCTCTTTTTTGGTTCCATATGAACTTTAAAGCAGTTTTTTCCAATTCTGTGAAGAAACTCATTGGTAGCTTGATGGGGATGGCATTGAATCTATAAATTACCTTGGGCAGTATGGCCATTTTCATGATATTGATTCTTCCTATCCATGAGCATGGTATGTTCTTCCATTTGTGTCCTCTTTGATTTCACTGAGCAGTGGTTTGTAGTTCTCCTTGAAGAGGTCCTTTACATCCCTTGTAAGTTGGATTCCTAGGTATTTGATTCTCTTTGAAGCAATTGTGAATGGAAGTTCATTCCTGATTTGGCTCTCTGTTTGTCTGTTACTGGTGTATAAGAATGCTTGTGATTTTTGCACATTAATTTTGTATCCTGAGACTTTGCTGAAGTTGCTTATCAGCTTAAGGAGATTTTGGGCTGAGACAATGGGGTTTTCTAAATATACAATCATGTCATCTGCAAACAGGGACAGTTTGACTTCTTCTTTTCCTAACTGAATACCCTTGATTTCTTTCTCTTGCCTAATTGCCCTAGCCAGAACTTCCAACACTATGTTGAATAGGAGTGGTGAGAGAGGGCATCCCTGTCTTGTGCCAGTTTTCAAAGGGAATTTTTCCAGTTTTTGCCCAT